TCGGCTTGCGGACAAGCATGGTGCCAACTCCACAACAATATTAACAATAACCATAACGGGAGGGGGTTGGGATACAGAACATCGTAAAAAGAAGAAACTGGTAAAATGGAAAATTTTAAATAAATGGTATAACAATTTATTTTGTGTTTTTTTTACCTGCAAGATCTCTAAAATACATTTCTGAAATACAGTTGCATCCCCACAGATAAACTTGCAGACTCCATCACTGACACCGACCTAAAACCATGTGAAATTTTTTATTTCGAAAATACTCCCAGACACTCAGCATTCATCGCACAACGAAATATTCGAAAATCGTGTTCACCTCATCCACACTCGCAATGTTCAACCTTTTAATCGTAATAAATTTGGAATAATCCATTCGATTATTCTAAAAGATGCTGACTGTCGACTGTCTAACTCAGGATTAAAGGTTTGAATTCCCGACCCGAATGTTCGCAGTTCGAGTTCTGAGAGGGGCACATAAAATGCATGCACTGCTGACGAGTCCCAGACAGTTCAAAACAGCTGTCTAGTGCTCTTTGTCGTTTATCGCAAATCTTCCCATCGTTTAGGCATTCATTTGGTCGTACCTATTCCTATCGCAATTCTTTTTGTGAAACATTCCATTACCGAAAGAAAAACAAATATTGGATCTATAAAACAGTGTGTACCTGCACATACGTGTTAGAATACACCTGAGGCAAAATGGAGTTCAATTGTACGGGACAATTTATAATAATATTTAATCACAAAAATATTTGATATCATCCATCGATGAGTGCGGTCGGGGAATCACCCTAGGTAGAGAGAGTAAATCATTTGTCTGGCAGATTACTTAAGGTCCACAGACCGGTTGACAGTTTCCATTGAGGAATTTTTTTAATCACGTGATTATTTATGAATCGACGTACGGAGATTTTCGTGTTCAGCGTCACACACGGATTGACACAACAGCACAACGCGATCAACAACACACCAACTTGTTGTTCCGCGGACCCCGGTGCGTAGTCCATCAGATGAAATGAGGCTAGCACATACCGGGCACTTTCGGCCGCATGAAAAATCAATATGCTCACAGCTAGAGCAGCGGTAATTTTGACCAACTTCATAATTCCCTTGTGTGATTGCTCCTCGTGGTTCGAGTTCGTGTTCATTTTGTTTGCTCGATTGACAAATCGGATCACGATCACGTGACATGTGACAATAAAAACGATCGGGAGCAAGTAGGATAAGAAGAGCCAGAGGAAAGAATGAACGTCGAGAAATCGATGCAAAGGAGATGCAGTGATCGGTACAGCAAACGAGCAACTGTCGTTGGAGAAGTGACGTAGAAAAAAGTTCGGTATGAACAGAAGTAGACTGATGGAAACCAAGTACACATAACAACCAATCATCAGACCGACATGATGCAATCGGTAGTAGATTGGACGAATCACAGCCAGTAGACGATCGAACGAGATACAGACCAAGTTGTGTACACTGAGCACCGCACCAAGCCAGAACAATTCATCTT